TTCATTTTCACACATATACTTTAACATATGATTATGGGTTGCACATTGGATTATTACATTATTTATGTTCTTTTGTTAAAGGTAACAACTAAGGAAAAGTGATAGTATATAATTTGAAAAAAAAAACAAAAAAAAGAGCAAAAAAATTAATGATAATAAAAATATAGATAAGTTTGGTTTTGTAGCCTTCTTAACCTAAGCAATTAAGCCCGAAGGGGTGTTTTAATACCTAATACCCTAAAGTAAGCTATTGGTCCAACGCTTATTACATGGGTTGAGGAAAAAAGCTTACGAAAATCAAACATTGCACTATCTACGTATCAGTATCGGCAACCCAAGTTACTAAGCTTGTAGGGGTGTCTTAACACCTAATGCCCTAAGACTAACTGGTCTGGGAGTCATTAGTTGAAAGCTTGTTACATGACTTAAAGATGCATTATGTTTTAAGTTACATGTATATATATTAAAAGAAACAAAAAGAAAAGAAGAAAAAAAATCTCAACCCAAGGAAGTTAACCTTAAACATTATAACAAGAATTTTATTTTCTTCCAAGTAAAGCCCCATAACTATGTGTTGATATATTGAGCACAAAAGGAAGGTTTATTAATATCTTTTTAAGAGGTATTGAGCAGATATATAAATTTAATGAGAGGTTGTTTATCTGGATAGATTAATGAAAGTTAAATGATGAATATCTTGTTTTGTGGAATTTGCAAAAACAAATATTCTATTTTAACACTTTGTTTCCTAAGGACTAATAATAAGATGGTTGGGGGGATGTGATTAGTACTTAAAAATGTATTTTTATCAAGGTTTTATATCATCATTTGGCACTTGAAGTATCAATAATTCCTTAACTAAAGCATGTTTTATAATAACATATCTAATAATATAAGATACCTTTAATTTGTGGTAAATATTTATTTTAAATGCAGGCCTATCACATAAATGAAAGGATTGATTGATTACTTTAAGATTTGAAATTGAAAGGATAAAGAGATGGCCAAACTTAGAAAAGAGATGTTGGTGCAGTCCAAACCGGAACACTATCTGGTAATTAGGTCATATCTGAAGCTGTAGATCTCGGATTTAGGTCTACTTTATATGGATAGAAATGTAAGATATAAGCCTACAACTTCCATGGAGCCCAAGACTTAAAAAGGTCATTTTCAAGTCCAAATTGTAGCAACAACAAAAAAGTCTGAATTGTCCTATAGCCCGCGCACTGTTTAGTGTTTGACCCATATCTGGAATTCTATAAGCCAAATGACCTCTATTTTGTTTTCTTGGAAAGCCGAGACAATTTCCTACAACTTTCATGTTTTTAAGTGGTTCCAATTCTAACGTTATCAATGCCGTTTTGGGCAGACAAAAGAAGATAAAGATTGTCACCAAGTCAAGAGTTGGCAACCCACTCATCAATTAGTCATCAAATCAATAGTTCTCAATTTTGGCCTATAAAAGGAGGCATTTGTTATGCATTTAGGCATCTTGGTCTCCAGATTAAGGTCATGCTCTTGCTTTCTCTCTTTGTATTATTGTAATGTTTAAATTTTATTTTCATTAATATCTTGTTTATGTCTTTCAATTCCTTTCCTTTACTTAGTTAACTTTTATTTTATTTATGTTCTTATTTTATTTATTCATTTTTCTCTCTTTCATTATGTTTAGCTAAGTTTATTATGTTAAAGTGAAAAGGTTACAGTAATGGTGTAAGAATAAGTATAGTGTAAACTCAATATGAACTTTAATGTTTGATACTAACATGTTTTGCATTTGTTATCTTGTTCATTCTTTAATAATTTGCTTGTTAAATGACTAATCTAGATTTATGTTGTATAACACTTGGTACAACAAATGCTTGGCACTTTCATAGCCCAACCATATGGTATAACCTATACCTGTGTTATGAAAGGAACTTGATTTGTTGTTAACATAAGTTATAATTATGAATGCCTGACAACATTTACAAGTATTAGCATTATTCAAATAAGATGACTAATGTAATCATGTTAACTATTTATAATATGATTGGAACCTTCTTTGTATGTGATTTCCAATTGAGTAATAAGAGTTTATACTATACTTGTTTGAGATACCATTAGTGGATCCTCTAGCCTTGACATTTGTTGTTATCATTGTCTAATCCATACATTGATCTTCCATCTCAAAGTTCTCATCAACTTTTTCTTTTTCTTCTTTATTATTATATTATTATTATTACGATTATTGTTGTTGTTGTTTTTACTATTGTTTATAATTTATACAATTAACCTCCTTGTGGTTCGACCTCGGTCTTACCGGGTTATTTATTACTACGACATTCCTACACTTAGAAAAAGACATTAATCTTTTGGTCGTGTCAAGAAGTATCTTGAGTTATTATTGAATATTGGTAAGGAGCTAATGATAAAGGGATATATTTACAAGAGTATGAGCCTTGCGTTGTGCTAGTATTACTTGTGTTTAAGAATGATAGAATATAGAGGATGTGTGTTGATTATCGAACCATCAATGACATAACAATAAAGTATAAACATTATATTCTTAGACTTAATGACATGCTAAATGAGTTATACAGATCATTTATTTTCTCTAAAATTGATTTGAAAAGGGGGTACGATTATATTAGAATGAAAAAAGTGGATAAATAAAAAAGTACATTTAAAACTAAGCGTGGTTTGCATGAATGGTTAGTTATATCATTTTGACTTACAAATATACCTAGTATGTTTATAAAGTTAATGAATCATATGTTGCATGTATTTTTAAATAAATTTGTGGTTGTGTATTTTGATGACATTCTAATCTATAACAAGAATATGAATGAGAATCTTAATGATTTGTATAATGTACTTAATGTATTGCATAGGGAATAATTATGTGTTAATCTTAAGAAGTGTACCTTTTGCATGAAAATTGTGTTTCTTAAAAATGTTGTAACTGCATTAGGTGTCAAGATAGATAAAGACAAGGTTAAGGCCATCCAAAATTGCCTTACTCCTAAATCTATAATTGAGTTAAGGAGTTTTCATGATTTTACTAGTTTTTATAGATGTTTTGTGAAGGAATTTAGTACCATAGCTACACCATTAACTAAGATAGTGAAACATTATATTAGTTTTAAATGGGGTGATAAACAAGATATGGTTTTTTAACTTATAGCTAGATAAATTATATATTACTCATGTTTTAGCTTTACTATACTTTAAAAAGGCTTTCAAAATTGCATGTGATGCTTCAAATATTGGTATTGAAGCCATGTTAATGTAAAATCAAAGACATATTATCTATTTCAGTAAAACACTTAACAGGGTAGCACTAAGTTACCTTATATTTGACAATGAACTTTATACCTTGGTGAGAGTAGTGGAGACATGACTACATTATTTTTGGCCTCAGGTTAAGAAAGAATTTTTTTTTGTATTGGTTAAATTTATGTTTTAGATGTATTTTAGGATGTTTTTGGTTGAAAAATTAATTTATTAAGGTTTCAAGGGTGTTTATTAGTTTTTAAGTGAAAATAAAATGGAAAATGATTTTTGAAATTAAAAACAAAATTTCCATTAGCTCCATTTTTCACCTCAAAACAAAAATTAGTCTTATTTTTTACAACTATTTAGATGATTGAAAACTAAGCAAGCAAGAAAAGTATTATCGACTTTTGTTTTTTTTTAAAAAAAAATGATTGTCAATGCATTTTAAATAGAAAAACAAAAGTTTGAGATTTCTAGATCTAGCTTGATTTTTAATGGGCCATATGTGATAGATCATTCGATCCTCCACACTTGGTTTGTTGTAATCCTTTATTTTTTTATGTTTTTTTCTAATTCAAATTTAGTTTCTTTAAAAAATAAATGATTAAAAATATGTTAGATATATTAATTTATTAATTTATTAAATTAATTCTAATATATTTCAAGTACTATTTTATTAAATATCATTCCATTTTTACTTTGCTTTCAAATAATATTATAGCTATCATTTTATAACATTAACAATCATTCTTTTTTACACAACCCATAATAATTTATTTTTCTAAATCAATTTGGTGACTTTTCTATACTTATCTATTTTTATTATCATATAATTAAATAAAAAATAATTTTTTTAATAAATTATTAAACTTAACTACATACATGATCTAGGGTGTTGATTTGATAAGTTAACTTGAGTTAAGTTAGATCATTCTAAGATATTAAAATCTCAATATTAAAAACTTAGATGAGGTAAGAAGCTAGGTTGTAGGTTTTCAAGTTGATTTGTTAAGCGTAGTTCAAGAACATTATTAAAGAGTTCCTCACAACAACTCATGAATATTGGATTGTTTTATGATTTCTTGTTAGATTTGTATCAAAATTATTAAAATGTTTTTTTTTAATTAAAGTTAGAAAAGAATTGTTAACAAGAGTTCTAATAATACAGGGACAAAGATTTTGAGTTCACAATTCAAATATTATGATGGATTAATTGTGTTAATAAATATTAAAACGAAGGTGTCGAATATTATAAATAATGTTATCTACAAACATAATGAAAGGAAATAAATCAAAATTTACTGGTTAATAAATCTGAATAAAATAACTAAGAGAAAGAATTCATTCTTTTATATGGTATTGGAATATCTCTCTATCAATCCTCGATAATAATGTTTACTATCTCATTCATTCTTTTCGAAAAGACTGTTAGCCAAATCATTGGATGCGTACATTAATTATATAAGCAGGAAGAAGAAAGGATTGTGCAAACATTGGTTGGCAAAGTAAACACATCAAAGGTCAAGTCTCACTCTTCATTGATGTAGTCGGCTTCTGCCTTCATTCGCAGTTACAGGCTTGGACAAGCTGTTTATTACATAGAATGTTAAATCATGAGATTGAGATGTCTTCGTACGTAAAAGCGAGATGACCAAATCAGAAAGAAGGGGGAGAAAAGATAAAAGAAAAAAACAAGGAGGGAGAAAGCTCCTAGTACTGGATCAAAGAAATGCCGTCCGTGGTCAATAATTTGAGCCAGGAGTATCCCAAGTCTCAGGTATGACAGAGTGAAGTATGCACCACTCTGGTGGACTGGATATTATTGAACCCATAGAAGAAATAGTGAATTCCTCATTTGCATTCACTATTTCCTCTATCTTCTCCATCAGTTCTTCCATAGATGGCCGCTGTTCCGGTGATTTTGATACACATTTGAGAGAGATATTGAGCAAAGGGAATGCATATTGCCTCGCAGCTTGATTGAACTCCTTGTCGAAAACTTCTCCTGTCCATTCCTCCCTTACTATGGATCTGACCCATTTAGGAAGGTCTATCCCACTCTTCTCCACAGTTTTTCCTGTTAGTAACTCAAGCATAATTATTCCAAAACTGAAAACATCGCCTTGTTCCGACAAGATTTTCTCAGGGGCTGTATAACCATTGGAGGAAAAGGACCAAACTCTCTTGGGGTCCAAAAATGTTGAAAATCCGTACTCACTGATTAGTGGTTCTTGATTTTCATCCAGCAGGATATTTGAAGGCTTAATGTTCCCATGAGGTTTGATCTCATGCTCAATAGGATTCCTATATATGAAGTCCAAACCCCTTGCAATGCCAATTGCTATTGACAGCCGATGTTTCCATGGGAACTCCCTCTTGCCTTCAATGTAGTCTGCAGGTTACCAACAACAATCTGCTGAGATATATGTATGCATGTAGGAAAGTAACACATTTCAAGATCTGAACGTGCTGGTCATAAGAATATGAGTCACGTGATACTGTGTTGTTCTTTATATCTTAACCTCATTAGTTACAACGAAAACCGAACATTAATATTTCTCGTAAGAATATATTCTGAATGGAAAGACATGCATAAACTATATTCGAGAAGCAACAAGTTCAGACATTATTTTATTCTCTTTAATTTAATGAATGTGGAACAATTTCAGATATAGGAGAGAAGTTCAAGAGTAGCCAAGCATGCCGCCTTTTACACTTCTCAGGCCTGAAATGGCTTGCACAGATCCTTTTGCATTTGAACACCCACGTGTGCACATGCATGCTAGCTTCTCTGAGTCTGAGTGCTTTTGTGTGTGCATCAAGCATGTTTGGGACAATTTTTAATCAAGAATAGCAGAACTTACCCTCTAGCAGGTTTAGCAGGCTTCCACTGCTTTGATACTTGTATATTAGAAGTTTTTCCTCATCAGTGGAATTGTAACCAACAAGGGGTAGAATGTTTGGGTGCTTCAAATTCCCAATCTGCCTCATTGTTTGGCCAAACTCCTCAAATGATATCTGCAATTTCTTCAATCTTTTGACGGCGTATACGATATTACCAAGCTTCACCTTGTACAGACTGCTGCTAGGGGTCTGGCTTTGTAAGTCAGCGGTAGCTTCAAAGAGGTCATCCAATCCGAATCTTTCTTCCTCTTGAACAAAGAAAACGAGCTCTGAGCATCTTTCTTTAGGCTTCAAGTCTTCTTGAGGCACAGGTGGAGGAGTTTTCTGAGGAGAATGTGCCAGAGATTTCAGAATCTCCCTCTCTTTGGCCGAATCAGAGAACTTCTTATTCACAAAATAAGCTAATACAGTGAGAAATACAATGCCAAAAGCTAATGGTACGATGTATATGGCTTTGCTGTACCATTTCTTTTTGCCAGAACCAGGCTTGCTTCCATTAGATGGGTCTGCAGGATGTTCGACGGAAGCAGCGTCAGTGCTATTTAGGGATACGGAGTCTGCCACTATTGCCAATTTTTGAATATTGTACATCTCCACTGCACTCTGTTTCATAGAATAATTATTTAGATGCTTGAATTCCAGTTCGGGACGAGGAATAATTACAGTTAAATAATTGTTAGAGATATCCAAGGTCCGGAGATATTTCAACTTGAATAGAGGCACAGGCACCCTCCCAGTCAAAAAATTACTGCTTAGATTTAAATAGGTCAGGCTTCTGCAATTCAATATGGAGTGAGGAATATATCCTTGGATGTGATTCTTTGCTAAGCTCAGGACTTGCAGGTGTTGGAGCCTACAAAGGGAGTCTGCATCAATTGTCCCAGCAAAGTTCTGCCTGTCAAGCCTGATTTGTGTTATAGCAGGAGGCTGAAAATTGCACTTGACTCCCCGCCACCTATACGAGCAAGGATGTGGCACTATCCCATTCCAGCTGACTCTCAGCACATTTTGGGGATCAATGGCTCTCATGAAAGTGAAGAAAGACTCAGTTTCGGACAACTCACCTCCTGAACATGCTGTGATGAAGAAAAACACGGTGATGTGTGCCAGGGCATTCAGGTGCAGATAGCAACTCCTCCTCCTCCTCATTTTACTAACATCTACTTGTTTGTTTGAACATTCGAAAACAGGATGAAAATGTGATCAAGGTGGAAAGTTTTAATCAGCAGTTTTTTCACTTTCTTTTAAGGTATCTCAAATCAGAGAAATGGACTGATACTACCAACATCACTCCTCCGTTGTTTTTGTTCGTCAGACTAAGACATTTCTTTCGTCATTTCCAAAGATTATGTAGATATGGCCAAAGTTTTAAATATTGTTCAATACTTCGTTGTCTTCTATGGGATACCGAAAAGCATATTAGAGATTCTTCACTATAGATATAATCAAAGTTGAGGTTGACCCACAACCAGAGAAGGCTGCGAATCCAGGCTCAGCCTTTGCTTACTGATAACAGTTTGAAGGGGGCCTTGCATGATTGTTTTCCAGAAATTATCTCATTAATGAATGTTTGTAAAACCTCGGGTTAGCGTCGGCTAAATTATTAAAAAATTAAGTTTGGATGAATTTGAGTTTAGCTTTTGGATTTTAAATTTTAATCGTTTGAATACCTCAAATTATTTTTTATAAAAATAGATTTTTTTTATTAATTTTGATGTGAAAACAAATTATTTAAAAAAAATAACAAAGTGATAGAAACGTCAGCAGAGAGGATTGTTTTTTATTAGAAAATAGTTGATTGTATTTAATTAAAAAAATTGAAATTTAATAACTAATAAACCCAAAATTGATGATAACTTTGAGTAACTTAGGCCATTAACATGACATGTCACAAACATCAGAATCAAAGGATATTTTGTAGAAAGCAATGCATGTCTTTTGGAACTTCTGTGCTCAAAGAACATGCATTTTCAAAGCTGCCACCATTTAATTCATCGATTAAAAAAGAAAAAAGAAAAAAAGAAGCTCATGTTTGATAAAAACCAAGTGGGAATGGACATATGTGAAACACATAAAGTAGTTGAGGGAAGTTGCACACACAAGACGACAAATTTGTGGGAATTTCTTAAACTTCAATTACAATGGAATTTTTCAATATTTTACTCCAAGAATCATGATTACATTTGAATCACTTCACCTCATCGTAGGAATATCAGAAGCTGTCAGTGCTGGAGACCGACAAAAACTAACCTTCTGGGTTGGAAAATCATTTGGATGTTTTTGCATCTGTTCATCATGTTAGGAATATTCATAACATTTCATAACCACTTTGAAGTGATTCAAATGTTTATATTTGGCTAAAGGAGGAAACACAGGTGAAATTACTTTATATTTGTGTTGCCCTTCGCTAGTAACGGCTTTGATTTGCTTGCATAGGACTTCTATAAATAACAAACTGGTGCCAGGGGAGAAGGGTGGAAATGTAGAAGTGCCGTGCCGTGCTGTCTGTAATTATTAGCTGTCATTTGTATGTATATCAGTTTCATTAGCGATAAGGTTCACTGACTTCACAAGGATGATGTTTCTTCCAAAGCTGATCATTAGGCTAAAATGTTGAGCATAGAATTATTAGATATTGGAATCACGAACATAGGTTTTTCTTTTCTTCTTCTTCTTCTTCTTCTTTTTTTTTGTATGGATAAGGTAAGTATATCATAACAAAAAAGAAGAGTAACAGCAATAGAGCAAACCTCACACAACTAGGAAGCGCAGAAAAAACCTCACCTATCCTAAAGCAACAAACAAGAAAACAAGGAAGTGGAAAGAGAGGCTAAGCGGCCATACCTTCAAAACCTAAACAATAAACAAATCAATAAAAAATAAAAATACCATTAAAAAATCCTCATAAAATATAAAAAATTTATTAACATCAAAGATATCATATTACAAAGAAGATTAACTTTAAAAACAATAAAATAAACAATATCATTATAAATAATTGAATTGTTGCTGGGAGAATCACCATGGAACTGAGCATTCATCTCCCTCCAAATATAGTAAACTGCAACATCAAATATCAATATGATTATCAATGATTTAAAAGAGCTATCTCCACCTAAAAGAGAGAGCTATAAAATAGTATTGATTTAGGATCGACACCTAAAAAGAATGAGGCATTTAGAACAAAGATCATATCAAATACGATGAGAGAACATGCAATCCAAAAATAAGTGATCAACATCTTCCCTACCAGCCTCACATAAAAAGCATTGGTTAACCTGAATGGAACTGTAGGACATGAGCTTATCCCAAGTTGAATGTTTCTTGCAAATAATAAGCCATAAGATGAAAGAGAATCACAGGATAACATGTTTATGTCATACAAGCTCTCACCATTCCACTTTGTTCTATAAAGGATGAATAGAATTCCAAACACTATAAATGGAGAAAATACCTTTAGGATTATCCTTCCAGCCCACAATATCAAACATTTTATCATCCAAGTGAAAAGAAACATGGGTACATCGAATAAACTCAATCCACATGGAAAATTTAGGAGGAGGCCAAGTTCACTCTTGACTAGTAATAATACAACTCAACCTTGCGTCTTTACCGAAGCAAGAGTTAATAATAATTTTGTCCCTAAAAACCTTCACCAAGTGACACTCAGGATGCCAATTACAAAATCATAAAGAAGTGGAACAACCATCACCTACATGGTAATATATAAGCCTTTGAATATGACTTTGAAGACCAAGAATCTTCCTCCAACTCCAAGAATAGTTCCTAGGACAAATCACCTACCAAACACTCTTACCTCACAACAATTATGAATGTATCCAAGACAATTAAATTGAATGAGTCAATCTAGTGCATATAATCTATAAGTATTTAACCATGGCAACTTGATTCTAAACCTCCAGATTTATATTACCTAAGCCCCCTTCCTTCTTTGGTAAGCAAATCTTAATCCAAGAAATTTTAGCACCACCTAAAGCAAGATTACTGTCATTCCATAAAAAGGATCTTAATAAAGAAATAATTTTCACAGTAATAGCCTTCAGAAGAATGAATAGAGAAGACTAATGCACCTGAATAGAGAAGAGGAAGGATTTGATAAGCTGAAGTCTAGCTAGATATAAAAGAGTGCAATTCATTCAACTCTTAGCCTTAGCCATAATATGCTCCACAAGGATCAAACAATTAGGAGATGTGAATTTTATAGTAATAAAAGGAACACCAAGGTACCTAATGAGCAACTTCCCTTCCTTGTAATCGAGAACATCAAGAAGCTGTATTTTAGTATCAGGCTTAACATCATATAGGAACATGCTTCTCTTGTCATTATTAGGAGACAAACTAGATAAAAGCCAAAATTGATCAATGTTATCGTTAATTAAGGAAACCATAACCACCTTAACTCAACAAAAAATCATCAAATCATTAGCAAAACATAAAGTGAGTAAGATGCTCCCTCTCATAATGCTAGTGAAATCCAAAGTCATTTTCTCTAACCATCTAACCTATCAAACCTGAGAAAACTTTCATAGCAAGAATAAGCAGGTAAGACATTACATGGTCTCCTTGCCTTGACCCTTTACCACTAGGAAAGAAACCATGAACCTCACAATTAAGAGAGACCAAAAATATAGTAATAAAGATACATTTAGCAATCCAGTTAACCATACGGGATGGAAAACCAAACATATGAAGAACAACCCATAAGAAGTCCCACCTAATTAAATCATAAGTTTTCATCAATTCCACCTTCAAAGACCACCTAAAATGATCCTCTCTTTAATAATAATTATGAAGAAGCTCTTGAAATGATACGATGTTATCACTAATATTTCACCTCTCAACAAAAACAAAATGAAATGGGTGATTAGTACTTAAAAGTGTATTTTTATCAAGGTTTTATATCATCATTTTGAACTTGAAATATCAATAACTCCTTAACTAAAGCATGTTTTATAATAATATATCTAATAATATAAGATACCTTTAATTTATGGTAAATGCTCATTTTAAATGCAGGCCTATCATATAAATGAAAGGATTGATTGACTAATGTAAGAACTAAAATTGAAAGGACAAAAAAATGGCCAAACTTAGAAAAGAGATGCTGGTGCACTCCAAACCGGAACACTGTTCGGTAATTGGGTCATATCTGGAGCTTTAGATCTCAGATTTAGGTCTACTTTATATGGATGGAAAGGTAAGGTATAGGCCTACAAATTTTATATAGAGCCCAAGATCTAAAAAGGCCATTTTCAAGTCTAAATTGGAGCAATAACAAAGAAGTCTGAATCTGTCCTCCAGCCCGAGTACTGTTCAGTGTTTGGCCCATATCTGGAGTTCTAGAAGTCAAAATGATTTGAATGTTTTACACAAGAAATCTGAGACAATTTCCTACAACTTTCATGTTGTTAAGTGGTTCCAATTTTGACGTTATCAATGACGTTTTAGGCAGACAAGAGAAGATAAGAATTGTCACCAAGTCAAGAGTTAGCCACCTACTCATCAATTAGTCTTGTTAGCTGAAAATGCTTAAAATTGGGACACCATGGGTACTTATGAGGCATTGATTAGTACTTAAAAGTGCATTTTTATCAAGGTTTTATATCATCATTTTGCACTTGAAGTATCAATAACTCCTTAACTAAAGCATGTTTTATAATAATATATCTAATAATATAAGATACCTTTAATTTGTGGTAAATGTTCATTTTAAATGCAGGCCTATCACATAAATGAAAGGATTGATTGATGACTTTAAGAACTTAAATTGCAAGGGCAAAGAAATGACCAAAATTAGAAAAGAGATGTCGGTGCAATCCAAACCAGAACACTGTTCGGTAATTGGGTCATATATGGAGCTATAGATCTCAGATTTAGGTCTACTTTATATGGATGGAAAGGTAAAATATAGGCCTACAACTTTCATATGGAGCCCAAGATCTAAAAAGGTCATTTTCAAGTCCAAATTATTGCAACAACAAAGAAGCCCGAAGCTGTCCTCCAACCCGAGCACTATTCAGTATTTTGGCCATATCTCGAGTTCTAGAAGTCCAAATGAGCTGAATTTTTTACACAAGAAAGCTGAGACAATTGTCTACAATGTTCATGTTAAGTAGCTCCAATTTTGA